CGAGGAAGCAGCAGACAGTGGTCGGTTCAGACATGGTGGTTTTGATGTGCGCTCGTCGATGCAACTTTGTGAATGAATGAAAAGGAATGATCGGGGCCCTAAATACTGTTGTAGTATGCACCGCGCTTGCAGATGGGTGACGCTTGGATTACCGTCCTTCCAAAGGCCATGGACATACGCCACGTGGTGCCACCATCATTCATTCCCCGCTGGACAGCCGAACCAAAGTGGACCAATGAGGCGAGGTGAAAAAGTTTGAGCCTCTTCTTGGCCAAGGAATCAAGTTCGTGGACATGCGTCGTCGGTCTTCTTCGGCTGCCAAGTCGAGGATCACGGCGTGGTTCAGTTGGAGCCAGTGAACCAGATGTGTGTTACCTACGTTCTTCTAGTGACCGAGGATTGTGGGCGCCACACGTTCGGACGCGCCGCTGCCAACAAGCGGGTGGATGGAATGAGGATATACACATCATGTTGTATGATGGCGATGTCAAAGCCACCGACCGGGCCAGTGCACCCAGCCATTCTGACTTGCGCGCGTTTGAGGCAAGTGAAGGATGCCTGCTGGTGCATGGTGATTGGACAAAGGTCACGGCGCGTCACGAGGCGGATCTGTTCGCCTTTGTTCGCTTGCATGCCGCCGCCGCAGTGAATTCCTACCACGTGGCAGCGGCACCTCGCATTACGCATTGGCGACAGAGTTGAGCTCGCTGTCAAGCTTTCACAAACGCGAAGGATCAGCGTCGAAATGACCTGGGCACGAGGGAATCTTCGGGCTTGCTACAGTAGTGAGCCCGTCTTGTGGGTTGTAATTGTGCTGTCAGGTGAAGTAGCCAGCGTCGAGTGGACGGATCGAATCCAGGCCAACTCACACCACTCTGGCGGTAGCTCTCCGGCGTCTATCGCCCCAACAACTCCTTCCGAATGACCTCTTTGTATCTAAAAATGGCAATGCCAAGGAGCTATCCAGTGCAATTGATGCGTGTACTCGTGATGCAGGCGGTGTGTGTTTCCTAGACGATGTGTGCAGCACCAGTTGCCGTCAGATGATGTCGGTGGCCACATCGTGTGATCACGAACATCTCTTGCGGTTTGTATGTGGATACAAACCACAAGTATATTGATCACATCTGACTCAACCGTGGACGCGATTACTACAGTGCGTTGGTGGCGACGTTGCACTGGAGCTCGACCAGATCAATCGAAGCGGGGGTGATACCACTTGTTGCTTGTCGAGCTGCACGGAGTCCTCGCCAGGAGGCTTCTTGGTGGCAAAGAAGAGGCGTGCGACGATAGCTTCGGACAGGGCCTTTTTATGGACCCCATTGTAGTTCGAGGGATCATGTTGAAGTGAGTCAAATTTACGATCAGTCATTTCCACTGAACTGTTCATTTACGGTGAGGTTGGACCTTTGTCGATTGAGGCGCAGGAACAGCCCTGCCCGGAATGGTGTCGCGGAGCCAGTGGTCGTGGTGCATGGCGGTCATCATGTGGAAGAGACACATCGCTTGAAGTTCAGGAGCAAGGGTTGAAAATGCAGCTCGGTCAAGCCGCTCCACGACACGCGCCTCAAGGCTCGGCCGCTGCGGGCGAGCCAGTCAGTGCGGACCACGGAGGCGCGTTAGGATCAGCCACGGCATGGTGCCGGCTCGTCGGCGGTACCGTTGGGCCGTCACTGGCGGCTGGAAAAGGAGCGCAGACAGCGAAGCGCAGGTCATCGAAGGCAAGTTGCCGCCGGTAGGGGCCAGTTGGCACTGAGCAGCGGGGTAGAGAACGCGCTTCTACATCTCGAGATCGCCACGTACGGGCAGAGTTGAGCGTCGTCGGCCAAAGTAGAGCCGGGTGCTAACTGCGACAGCTCCAACACGGTGCAGGCAGAACGTGCGGTGGCATGCGGTCTGGCGGTACTCGGGAAGCTGCAGAGCACAGAGGGAGTGGTCCTCAGGACGCGGTGTCCGTAGCGCGTGGGAAGAAGGAACTTTGGCGTACTAAAAGTGCAAGCTCTTCAGGCGGACCACCCCGTGTCGTATGCGAGCCAGAGCAACACGTTGTATTAGTCATAAGTATCGCTTCTGGTATGCGCGGTGCTGCTTCTATGCGCGTCCTTTATGCTTGCTGGTCGCGGGGCTGGTACATGGGCTGGCGACCGCCATTGCTCTGGTTGCGGCCCTGTCCCCGGCCGTTGCCGCCAGTGCCACCGTTGTTGCGGTTCCGGTTCCGGTTACCGTTGCCGTTGCCGTTACCGTTGCCACCACCGTTGCCACCGTTGGCGTTTGCGTTGCTGGTACCGTAGTTGCGCGGGTCCGTGGGGTAGCCGTTGCCCCCGTTCCGGTTCCGGTTGCCGCCGCCGTTGCCATTGCCGTTGTTGCGGTTGCCGCGGTAACCCCGGCGGTTGTTGAGGCCGACGGCGCCAAACGTCTCCGTGTTGAGCTTGCGCTCTTCGTGGGCGCGGAGGCGGCCGTTGACGCCCTCCAGTCGGTCGAGCGCATCGCACGAGATCGTGTCAAAGAACGAGGATTTTTGGTACGAGCCCTATGGCATATGGTCAGAGCGGACCATCGCAGTCTCTTGTTCATACCTTGATGACGGGGCGCACAGCCTCCGCGTTCGTCATGCTCATCTTGCTGTACTCGTCTTCCTTGTTGAAATCCGTGAGACCGACGGCAAAGTCAAACTCGGCCGCAATCT